GTAGGGTCCCTCAGAGTGATGTAGCATCTTGGAGAGTGACGGGGGGAGTATCCCTCAGAGTGTGGGAGAGGGAGCGTGAGTCCCTCAGAATGAGGGAGGGGGAGGGCATGTCCCTCGGAGTGTGGGAGAGGAAACACGAGTTCCTCGGAATGAGGGAGGGGGAGGAGGGTCCCTTGGAGTGAGCTGGAGGAGGGGGTGTCCCTTGGAGTGTGCGAGAGGGAGCGTGAGTCCCTCAGAATGAGGGAGGGGAGGGCGTGTCCCTCAGAGTGTGGGAGACGGAGCGTGAGTCCCTCAGAATGAGGAGGGGGAGGAGGGTCCCTCGGAGTGAGGTCGGGTTCCCTTGGAGTGTTGAGTGGGAAGGGGAGGGAGTCCCTCAGAGCCTCGGAGGTGACGCTGGGATCTAAAAATGGAGGTATGGCTGGGGGGGGATGGGAGAGACAGCGGCCTCTGATGGGCCGAGTGGCCATGAAGTGTCTGGGAACGGGTGTGGGAGGAGGGTGCGTTTACCCGCTATCTCCCCCCCATTTCCCCCCCCCATTCCCCCTACGATGGACCCACCTGAGGAGGTCGGGGTAGAACTGTTTGTCCCACCCACTGTACAGCGACGTGGTCACATAGAGACGCTTCCCATCCAAACTCAACTGGATCATCTGGGGTCCACCCCAAATCCGTGTGCCCTGTGTGAACACGAGAGGGTATGGAGTGATAGAACGTAGAGCCGTACAGCACAGGAACAGGCCCTTCGGCCCACCATGTTTCTGCTGACCGTTGTAAACCATCCCATCTACCTGCACATGGTCCATATCCCCACTGCTCCTAATTGCTCTTCAACATTACCTCTGTTTTGATTGCCTCTTATGGCAGCGTGTTCCAGGCACCGACCACCATCTGTTTAAAAACCTTGCCTTGCACATCTCAGCAGCGAATCAGAGGCTGGAAATTCAGAGTACCGTAGAAAATAGAAAAGGGCATTCGGCCCTCCAAGCCTGCTCTTCCAGTCAGTGGTTGAACATCCAACTCAGTCCCCTCTTCCCACTTTCTCCCCCCATACCCTTCGATCCCTTTAGATCCGAACCCAACTGCTTCTTGAGAACATTCCAATGTTCCGGGCCCCTGTTCGCTTTCTGTGGGCGGAGGATCCCACAGGGCTCTCTGCTCTCTGGGTGAAGACATGTCTCCCTCATCTCAGTCCCCACCCCATTTCCTTTAGACTGTGACGCCCCCTGGACTCCCCCAAATCAGGAACATCCTGAGATAAGAAGGTGTAGAGCTGGATGAACACAGCAGGCCAAGCAGCATCAGAAACCTTTCTGAAGAAGGGTCTAGGCCCGAAAACGTCAGCTTTCCTGCTCCT